GAATGCATTCGTGTTGCAGAGTGATAACGTCTGCCAATGCATACCGTTTCAGATCCTTCCATGGGGGGATTTGTAGTCATTCTATTTCAAGTCTTCCATCCAGCTACAGTAGTAAGGAGGCAGGGTAGTGAGTCCATTCCGATGGGAAATAGGGTTAAAAACTACAAGGTACTTTTCTGACCATCCCAGTCCCAGAGCAATTTCTGTATTAATCGCCAGTTTAAATTCTCTCCTCCTCACCGTTGATACCTAGGTATGATTGTTTCCCTCTTTCAGTTCTTTTCTGTTTCTTCTCCACTATTTTTTAAGGATTTGGTGCTGTTGTGGTAGAGGATGTAGGGAACCAAAGGGAAGAAAAAGAGTGAAGAGTCAGTAGACAGTGAGAAGGAAATAGCTAATCAGCACTTCTTTGCAACTTTTTAAGTTAATTCCGCTGTAGCCATGCCTCCCATAAATCTGGACAGCCACAGCAGAGCTATCTTAGCAAGCTGCAAACAACGGCTGATTGTCAGTTTCCTTCTCTCTTTTTGCTGACACAGCTTCCCAGGTACAACTTTACAGCAGATCCATTTGCACTTTCCCCACATGTAGTCACGCCCTGAGTCTTGAAAAAGGTATAACACTCACTGGGGTAAAAGTTGTTGTTGTAGGCAGGATGGAAGGGTGGCGATGCAGCTTTTTATGGCACCAGCTGCTACAATTCTTTACATAAAATTAACAAGATTGGTGTGTTATTCTTGGATAACTTGACCAAAAGACCTGTGGGTTCTGTTAACAAAGAGAAATAAGACATTTGGTATGTAATGATGAAGCACTCTTTTTTGAGCCAAAAAGAAGTGCTTCATCAGTACAAGGGTCATTACTTTTCCCCAGTCTCCTATGCACCGTCGATATTTATTCTGGAATGTAAAAACCTTTTGAAGCAGATTTTAGCACAATGCAGAGGCCTAGGGGGCAAGAATAGAAGGACCCTCATTGAAGATCTGTGGAAGCTGCAGGCTGGATCATGGCCTGTAACTACTGCTGTATATAGATTTCTTCTTCTGTAAATTACTTTGAAATCCTGTTGATTTCATCTATATATCTTTTAAATGATCAAAAATGCACACTTTTTGTCAAATTGAGCAATTTAAAATAAAAATTATTGGAAACAGTCTGGTACATGCAGTACATAATTAAGAATTACATTGTGATTTCCTTGTATGAGGAAGTGCTATTCTATTCTTACCTATTTTTTCTCCTTTGCACCATGAAGTGAGGAAAAGAGAGAATTATCTACAGAATGACTTTTGACTAGTAGCAGTACATGTCTATTGTCTCAAAGAGCAAAATATTCTTCCGATCATCTGCTCACAGACTAATAACAATTTCTTATCTGAATATTAGAAAATATAGAGGTGCTCACCTCTTTGATGCTTTCAAATGCAGATTCAACTAGTTTCTGGATGAGGACATTTGCTGGGAACTGGGACTGCATTTGATGTGCTTCACATGTTTCCAGAATTGACTCTAGAGACAGTCTCTTCTGTGGTACATCTTCACATAACATTAGCAGAACAGTATGTAATTCATCACTTAGTTGAAGAGGCTTAATTGGCAATGAAAAAAAGAGTTTAGTGGTGTTTTAAATCTACCCATGTTTTCTGTAAGGACATTTTCAAAAAAATGTAAAGATGACAGAGATCTACCTTCAGTAACCTATTTTTCCTTGCACAGCCGGGAAAAGGCAGTGGAAACTTATTTTTCAGTCTCTTTTATCTCTATGGATAAATGAGAATGGATGTCCCAGCAGAATTATTAATGGGCCTTAAGTGCAATCCTAAGCATATTTTCTCTGAGATATGCATCCTGATGAATTCAACCATCTTTCTCCTAAATGTGAAAAGATGTCACTATTTGCAAGTGTTTTTTTTTTTTAAAAAAAGTTGTTATTGAGATGGTCTCCTTTTCAGGAGGACTGCAAGTTATGTTTCCAAGGTTGCCAATAGTATCCCACAATGTAACAATACAAAAGGTCCACACAAACAACTGACTGACTTTTCCGTTTTTATAATTTAAAACCACGCATTGTGTCATATATGTGTGTTTTTATATAATAATAGCCATGATGATGAAAACAGTCTTGATGGATCAGAAAGAAAATTCTGTCTAAGGAAAATATTTTCAAAATCCAGGTTTATGCAAAGCAATTTATTTATTTTTGAGAAAAGACAAAATACTCTTTCTTCACTTTCTGCGCTCTCTTCTCACACAAAGCAGACAGAATAGTTCTGGGATGAGAATTTATTGGTGAGAAAAAGTAACTTTAGACAGCTGTTCATGGGGTTATTTGCCTTTATGCTTTTCCAGACATTCCAAGAGGAACTGTATAAACTGCTCATTTGTTGCAAAGCTCAACTTGGAAATGCCAGTTTTTACCTATATAGCCTTAAATACCTGTATATCTGTGAGATTATTTAATCTTCAGTAAACCTGTCTATAATTTGTGATGTTTATCAGATGTCATGTTGCAAGTTTAACTACCAAGAAAGTTTTGGGTTGTTGAAAGGTTAGGACAGAGTGTCTTCAGCAGTAGCACTTGAAAAGATGTTAGAGTGGCTCCATTCGTTTTCTATTTTAAAAAGGTAGTGAAAATCGTTGTGCTGCATTTGACCTTCAGTAATTTTTAAATTGGAATTAACATTGTTCTCTGAGATAACTCCATTACTCAGTTTGGTTTGGTTTGAGTTGTTTTGTTATGTGTCTTGTTAAGTTAGAAATATGGCTTATAAATACGTTCATTAATAGAATAATTACTAAACACACTTCATATTTTACATCCAGTGCAGTGGTTCCCAAAGCAGTGTTCTTGGATGCTGCCAAACCCAGCTGTGTGCTTGGCGTGATCATACCTAATGCCCTGCTCATGCCCATGTGCAGACCCCCGGGACATGTGATGCCCCCTCTCCCCGGACACCCGCCTGCACAGGAGAAGAGTCAGCAGCAAAGTAAAGGGAACCACAACTCGAGAAATTTTGGGGAACACTGACCCAAATTATTATTGGTGGTTCCTCTAATTACTGTACATTGTTTTAATAAGGATGTGTTTCCTGTACTCACTGGGTTTCAAGTAAACAAAACATTGCTTTCTTTCCTAGTTGAGTGGGATGTATCCACATCCTCAAGAGAAAAAAATGGTCCTCAGAGGATTTTCTCTTCTTTATTGATTCCATTTCCCCTTTCTTCAAAAGGTCAAATCAAAATGATTCGGGTAGCATAAACATTCAGAAAATTCCAATCCTCTCAGACTTTTTTCCCCATTTCTATAACTCATGGAAAGAGGGTGCTTCAAACAAACATGCTTCCTGGACTTTATGAAAATTCCAGTGATATATTTTGAAATGTGAGGTGCAAGTGCTGCTGTGCCTTACCTGGCTAGCAGGTATCTGATAATCTGCTGACCAATACAGTGTCATCCCTAATGAGTACACCAGCATCTAGAAAGAGACAAATATAAAACTGGCAACTGGTAGTAGTACACAAAAGCAAAGGGAAGAGAAAATTCAGAATCACTTAATCCTTACAGGACCCGTACATATCAAAAGTGAATTAAAGTAGTACCACATTTTTTTCCCCACATCCATACCTTTATTTTTTCTTCTCAATAAAGAGCTACCATGCTCTAATCCAATGGTTTCCAGTTTATGGTAAACCAGGTGTTCTTGGTCTACAGCTCCCAGAAACACCGGCCAGCTCAGTTGGTGTCGAAGGCTTCTGGGAACTGCAGTCCAAGAACACTCGGGTAACCCAAATTTGGGAACCACTGATCTGATCCATTTAGCTTAGTCGAGTCTTCATTCCTTCATTTGAACACTGCTGTATCTCTTCCACCCCCCTCGCCCACTGCAATTACTAGTGCTTATTCAACTTTTTCAACTACATTGATAAAAATGCAGATCACACTTTAAGTTGATTTGTGAGGTTGAGATACAATTAAACTGTGCAGAATAGTATTCTCAATATGCTCATGGTCACTCAAAATATTTTCGGTGAGTTTCACTCCATCCTAGATTCATTGTTGGATCTCTGTAGCCACCTACTGGTGCATTGTAGTATTGCACTGTATTGGTATTGTGTCATTGGAATAAACACATCAATGTTCATCAGACAAACAATCCTTTGTGTTTGATGAGTGAAGGACAACATGCATGTTGATGGAGAAATCGGGGGTGGTGGTGGAAAGAAGGGAAATGTGGACTAGTGACAAACATATGTTTGAGCAGATTGTTAGGCCTCATGCTTAATAACAACTGTGTCCAACCTAGGAGTTTTCAGATGAATTGCACTATATATTCCAGCATCTTTGCCATCAGTTAAATGCTTGCATTTGTAGGCTACCACATTGGCAAGGTGTGGGAAGGTAACTTAAGAATTAAAAAAATAGCACTCCTGAATTAGCCAATAACAAAACATGTCAGTAAGGGGCAATCATGATGCAATTCTCTATAAATGCCAGGGTTCCCCATTTCTCCAAGAATGACCATGTTAATTAAAAATTTTAAAAAGTGGGAAATACTACAGGTTTGGGACAGGGTTCCCCCCAATTGATCATATGACACAATGAGATATGTGAATCAGTCCAAAGTGCCCCCCCCCCTGCATTCATAGATTTCCCTCTCCACTAGGGAGGCTTCTAATTTTTAAAAGATTAATCCTTTTGGATCCATTCAGACCTGTGATTGCTTGAACCAATGCAGAAAGGGAGGACAAGCCAAGCGTGCATGTAAAGGTAAAGGTAAAGTTTCCCCTTGACAATTTTTGTCCAGTCGTGTTCGACTCTAGGGGGCGGTGCTCATCCCCGTTTCCAAGCCATAGAGCCAGCGTTCGTCCGAAGACAATCTTCCGTAGTCACATGGCCAGTGCGACTTAGACACGGAACGCTGTTATCTTCCCACCGAGGTGGTCCCTATCTATCTACTTGCATTTGCATGCTTTCGAACCGCTAGGTTGGCGGGAGCTGGGACAAGCATCGGGCGCTCACTCCGTCGGGTGGATTCGATCTTACGACTGCTTGGTTTTCTGACCCTGCAGCACAGGCTTCTGGGGTTTAGCCCGCAGTGCCACCATGTCCCTTAGCTCCTATGAAATATTGGTTGAGCCCAAAGGAATAAACTAAGGAAAAATGGGCTGTGAGTAAAAGATTTCAATTAGGAAGAGCAGGAGAAGCCAGACCTGCTGTTGGCACTTAAACTGCAAAGGTCCTTGCCAGCTTGGTCTAGGAATAATTCCTAGATGTTTGTGTTGGAGAGGTGAATCCACCTAGTGAATTTATGAGCTGCATACAATTGAATTGACATTTTGTTTTTGGTATTAGAAGATTCCACATGTGGGTTTGAATCTTCTACTTATTGGACAATAAATCAAGTTGAAGAAGATGTCTTGAAAGTTTATTTGAACTTGAAATCAAAGGGACACTTGAACTTTGCAATTCTACAAGCAACTTCTGTATTGGTGCTGTTGCCTGGGATTTGGGGAACAAATTGTAGTATTTTGTTGTTATAATTGCTCATGTTGTCTGTTGTATAACTGTGAATAAGAGAAGACTCGTTTTGTGAAATTCTATTTGCAATATTCGTCAATAGATGTCTATATAAGCAAAGAGCCACATAGAACTGTTACACATGGACATACACATAAAACAGTGGTTTACTAAAGCAAGTTCCCTCTCAACACTTGTTTCATAAGGAGGACAAGTCACACACACACACACACACACACACACAGCAATAGTACACTCTCTCTCTCTCTCTCTCTCTCAATAAAGCCTCTCTCTCAAAACACTTCTTTTTTTTCAGCTTCATCTCCATAGGTCGAGGTACTGTTTATTTTAACTTTTTATAGTTTAACGAAGCTTAACACAGCTCTCTCTGTTAGTAAAAGTTTTTTTCAAGGTAAAATGAGGAAATGTATAATTCATAAATGAAAAAACTTTCTTAAGACAGTTCCCTTTTTAAAAATAAATTGAAAAAACTAAAACAACTAATAAACATTAAAATATATAATAAACAAAACATAAAAGAAAAGACTACATACACAGTGCTCCCTATCACCATTCCAAAATTTTATAGATGCATGAATTAAAGTTTGTCCCTTCCTCTTTATCAAAACACGTTTCTTGTATATCATACTTTTACATGTGAGTTTATCATTGATAGCTGTATCACAGACTTCGCTATATCAGTCAATTAATGACAATATTGTGAAATGTTTTCTAGTTTCTAGCAATAATCAATCTCGCTGCTGTTAACAAATTAGAGACAATTTCTCTCATAATTCACTTATCTATCTCCTTTTTGAATATTGATACAAGCACTAATTTAGGACACACAGATACATTGAGATTGCTTATTTTATTTATTTCTTTAAAAAACAATTCTCCCAAATTACATTCCTATAACATTTTCAGTAAATACTCCTATTTCTCTAGTGCCAATGTAAAATAATAAATTTTACTTAATATCTCTTCCCTATTTTCTCATATCCTATGCTTTTCTTTTGAAGTATAATTCCTTTATACTTCACAACTTCCGTAGATTAACCATTTCTTTGTACCCACCTCTTTGTCCAATATTTTAACTGAATAACATGATACTGAGATATTTCATCTTTACCTAACACTGTTTTTATTTGTTCTTTATTTACCATTTTTTCTAGTCAATCATTTAACCTAATAACTTTTCTCTTTATTTTAGATTTTCTGGAATGTTTCCAGCTCTGTCACCAGTTATAATGGTGATGCTGGTGGAACAACCAATTTTCTATATTTATTCCAATTTACTAGCATATTATTAAGGAAAAGATTTTATATTTTAAACTATATTTTTATTATCTTGTAAAAAGAAGATATTTGTCAAGTTCAAATTTAGTTCTTGCCTTTCCATATTCAACCAAATTAATTTATTGGGATGAGACATATCATCTGATATTTGTCTTAATTGATTTTCAGTGCAATATAACCAATAGATTAGGAAGTCCTATGCTTCCTTTTTTTTGAGACTTATACCATCTCCACTTTTTAAAACTTGGTTTCTTATCTGCATTAAAAATTTTGTTAATCAGGTTTTGCCAGTCCTTAAACTCTTCTTTGTTAATCTTTATTGGTAGCATCATAAATAATAATAAAAAAGATCTTAGCTAATAATATTCATTTTATATGCAGCAGTTCTACCAAAATGTGACAATCTGATTTTCCTTAAAACTGCTAGTTTCTTCATAATTACCTGCTTCAATACTTTAAGATTTTCTTCTTTCAGTATTTCCAAATTACCTGGGATATTTACCTATATACCTAAATAGTTAATAGACTTTTGAATATTAACACTTATTTCTTTTTCTTTTTTACTCTTTATTATAGTTTTAAAAAGACATTTCTGATTCATACCAATTGAACTGCAATGCAGTTACTCTCTTCTTTTAAATGTAATTTAATCCTCTCTACAACTTTTAAAGGATTTTCTATTGTTAACAAACCAAAACCCAAGTCTTTAATTATCATTTTTAAAGAAGGCCATTCTATTGAATCAAAAGCCTTAAAAATATCTAATGAAATTACATCTGTCTTTTTGTTTTGAAATTCCATTTATTATGTTTAATACTTCCCTTGCCAAGTTAGACATTTGCCTTCCTAGCATAAAACCAGCTTCAACTTCTTCAATAAATTTATTTTTTTTAAAAAAGTTTATTTGCTAATATTCCTGTAAATATCTTGGCATCCTGATTTATTAGAGAAATAGGTTTATGAAACTGGTTCAGTAGGATCTTTATTCTTTTTCAATATTAATATATTTACTTATTGCTTCCATTGTAATAGTATCTTTTGTTCCTTCATTATTTTATTGAAAAGGGCTTTTAGTTTGGATACCAACATTTTCTTAAAAGTTTTATAATACAGTGGGGTCTTGACTTAAGAACGGCTTGAGTTAAGAACATTTTGACTTAAGAACCACTCTCATAGGAAAATATTGACTTGACTTAAGTACTTAGATTTGAGTTAAGAACTGAAAAAACCACGTGGGAGGCAGGGAAAGTGCAAAATTGGAACTTTCAGTTAACTGTTGGCCAGTGAAAAGGGTGCCTGTCTGCT